AAATAATACATGACTAAATTGTGAATGCTGTTGAAAAGATGGTGGCTGAATTCAGAGCGTTTCCATTGATATGAACCTTTGAAGATCACTCTAATTCTAAGGTTTTCAAACTTTAGAAGCCCTCCAAGACATCAAAAGAACAAATCAGCATCTCAGCATCAGCATCAGTTCATTTCATTGATATTTTATGACCAACTCTCAAGAGTAATTTGTTTAATTTCAGAAAATAAAGTTTATTTATCAAAATAAGCAAGCATTCACTTTAATTCACAATATGAGCTCTGCAGTGAAATTAACTATGCAAATTAATATGAAACATGAGAAGAAAAATAAACTGTTAACTGCAATTAATAGTGATTAACCCATAACAGGGGTTCCCTTTCAGTCGGTCACTCTCGACGTCACGTCGGAGGACCGACGAAATTGGGATCTCGCTTAGAGGGACCAATCTACTTCGAGTGTAAACCAAACGAGCCAATGCACATTGGCATGCGATTATTGCATCCAGCTGCTGCTGATCACAGCGTGAGTATAAGTAGGCAGTAGGTGCAGCACATATTCAGCTTTTCGCTTCGGAGCCGAGCGATCACATCGTTCTGCTCCTGACTACTCTACTGAGAGAAAAGACTGAACGAGTTCTTGAAGAGCTCTTCGTGTTGGTGGACGGCGCTTCAGTGGTGGTGGTTTCCCGTGTCGAGTGGGTTGCACACATCAGGCTGCACTACCCCCTGTTTGTGTTGCAAATGATCATCTCCCCTGTGCGCCTCAGCACGCTAAAAGAGCTTTTTCCCCTAAAAGAGCAAAGTCGGGTGCGTCTGGGTCGTGCGATGTCCACTATGGTGGTCCGGGAGTGCCAATTCTGGCTGTGACTGACTGACATGCGCGAGACGGACAAGACACTATTCTTGAACGTCCCCGTGTTCCAGGCCGGCCTGTCTGCGACACGGTGGAGAACTTGCCCAGCGGTTCTCCGCTGACAAAAGCAGACTGAGGCCATCAGGTACATCCTGCCGGTACAGCTGCTGCCGTCGCCGAGGGCGGCCCCCCTGCCACCGCTGAAACAAGAGCAGAGCTCCCTCCGACGTGACGTCGAGAGTGACCGACTGAAAGGGAACGTCTCTGTTACGTATGCAACCCTCGTTCCCTGAAGGAGGGAACAGAGACGCCACGTCCTGTCGCCACAGCTCCTGTACCACCGCTGAGCGGCCGGGTCATCGGCTCGGCTCCTCAGCGAAAACCTGAATATGCGCTGCATCTGCTGCCTACTTATACTCATGCTGTGATCAGCAGCAGCTGGATGCAATAATCGCATGCCAATGTGCATTGGCTCGTTTAGTTTACACTCGAAGTAGATTGGTCCCTCTAAGCGAGATCCCAATTTCGTCTGTCCTCCGACGTGACGTCTCCGTTCCCTCCTTCAGGGAACGAGGGTTACATACGTAACCGAGACGTTAAATCATAATAAAATCTAAAAAATAAAAAAAGAGACCCATATAGAAGAACCAATCTTCAATAAATTTGCATTCATCATTAATAATAATAATAAAATTGTTTTTCCACCAACAAATAATTAATTAGCTGAACAGTAGGCTTTGCAGTACATCAATTTATACAAAGTCGGTCACAGAACGTTGCCCATCCAATTAAAGTCAGAACAATCTATTTAATAATACATCTATGAGATATAGGCTGCAAGCCTGAAAATGCTTCACTGATGCTCGTGTTTTTGTATACATCCTTTCAAAATATGATGTATTCGTCTGGTAATTTTTGAAAGCATATGTATCCTTTGCTTATAATTTCCCACAATCCTGAATAGACACACAATTACACAGGCTTTTCTCTGAGGAAATTATACAGCGCCTCGTAACTTATTCCTTAATACAGTGACACAGAATAGTTTAGCATGAACGCTAAATTCTTATAAGGACCCCTGGTCATCTCTAAATTGTGTCTTCTGGGATATTTTCTTACTCCTTTTATGTGGGATTTGCTCTCCCCCGTTTGATAATGTTTGGTGTTGCAGCTTCTGTTCTTCTCTCTCCTCTCCTCTCCGCTCTGGAGGAGAGTCTTATCCAGAGCTTATCGCACAAATATATTCATGTTTTCCCCCTCTCTGCATTTCAGCCCATTTTCAGCATTCACAACTTCAAAGTATCATTAGGCGATATGATATCCCAGCATCCCTTATCTCTATACAACACTGATGCTTCTTTTGAACTTTTTTAGCTGGGATGGTGAGAGACATAGTAGAGAGGGACGACGAAGCGATAACATTTGGCAGATTGATGAGGTGAACGTCTCGTTTCCTAATTTCTCGCTTCTCATTGTTTTCATAGAGCAAATAGTATTAGATTTTCTATTAATATGTCCATTCATAATCTGCATTTCCTTGCCGTAACGAGACAAAGGACACACTCAACTTGACCCTTACGAAAAAGAAGTTTATTCAAGTATGCTATTAGTATACTTCTTTTAAACTAAAAATAGGAAAGTATACTTTTAGTCTAATTTTTATGTACTTCTCAGAAATGGGCTTTATGTACTTCTCAGAAATATACTTAAAATTACATTTAAGTATACTTGACTTATACTTCTATAATATATTTTAGATATAATTGTGCTCTTAGAATCCGTGTTTTCATTGTTATACTGTAGGGGGCGCTAGTACACATCTTCTGTACAGAATTGCCAAAAAACACAAGTGAAGAAGAAACCGAAACAACAGATGCATCAACATGTATTCTAACACGATCATCAGACATAAAACAGCATCAAAACTGTGTAACATTATGGAATAAAATGTCGACCAATGAAGAGGTAATAATGACTGTCAAGCTTTGGGGTGTTGATCGACTTTATCTACGTTTTGATTATCATTCTGGATCCAATTCATAGTCTTTTTTCAGCTTTATGTTCAAAATGTTGTTTATTTCTTTATTTTTTATGAAATTTATCCACATTCAAGTGTTTAAAAAAAGAATGTATGAAGCTAGAATAAAATGTTTTTGTTTACAAGCAGATACCCTGTTCTTTTGATGTTTTGTATGTTCAGATATTCATGTAACAAAATATATTCAAAGTAATACCTAAATAGGGACATAGTAGTATACTTAAAGTATGATGTAAAGTTCACTTAAAGAAAACTTACGAGTATACTTGCAGTATAAAACTACTAAACTAGTAGTTTACTGAGACTATACTTCAAAGTGTACTAAAAATGCTACTACAAGTATTTAATTAGTAGACTATCAGTATACCTATAAGTTCACTTTTAGTATAGTTGCAGTACAAACTAAACATTTTGATGTAAACTAGTTGTGTACTCAAAGTTTACTACTGTTATTAAAGTATACTTTTATATACTAGAAAGTGGGCCAATTTAGTCCCAAGGAGTATTGAAATGGTACACTTACAAGTATACTACTAGTACACTGATATTTGTCTACGTACTACATAAAGTATACTTAAAAAATATACTTGAACTTTACTTAAGTATACTTACTAAAATAAACTTGAAGTATACTTACTTTTTGGTAAGGGGAGTGAAGGCAATTTTCAGCACGTGCTCAATAAAGTTTTTTTGAAGCTTTTTCAACAATAGTCATAATATTAAAGAAAGACAGAAACACATACATAGAGAGGAACTATTGTAGTTATAACTGTTGTACATTGGCACCCTCTAAGGGTCAAAACAAGTGGTGAACACCTTAAAAGAGTCTATCATCTAAAAAGACTCCTATCTATCGATCTATCACAAATGTTGTAACAGTTTGTTAGCTGTTAAAAAAGGAAGTGCATATTAAGTTGTATCTAAGGAGCTTAAATCAGTGGATGAGTTCATGTCCTGCTGCGGTTGAAATGAGCTCATCTCTGCTGGAAGAGCCTCATCTGCTTTCTTCCCTGAAGGAGGATGTCACAGCAATCAAGAAGCTTCTGACAATAAAGGGGAGTAATTCAGATGAGAACATTGTATGTATCCTGATAACAAAAGAACAGCATATGCATGGTCTGGTGGTAAATCGCACACTTTTATTATCAGCTTAGTCGTTGAATTTGTACAAAGAGATCAAGTAATGCAATTACAAGACTAGACCATTGGACATTGTGATACACACAAAATCAGACAAAGGGGCCTGATCGTAGCAGGCCAGCTATGCAAACTGGAGCAGGCGACGACAGATCAGTTAAACAGAGCCATGTTACGTGGTTTTGGAAAAGCATTAGCAGCACACACACACACACACACACACACACACACACACACACACACACAGAGAGAGAGGCACAATTCACTAGCACACCAGGTAAGGAGTAACAGCAAATACAGCATGTCAGGACAAAAGTGTCACCACATCATTACAACTTCACAGTGGACCAGACTCTAACCAAGATGTAGGTCACAGATAGAAAGCTTTCTTATCAAACAGTATACAAACTTATAGTCAGCAGTCAGGAGTGGCTTTGCCTCTGATTCTGTCAGTCCTGGATGATCAGTGGCTTCTTCAGAAAGCAGTTGTGAAAGCTTTCCATTGCATGCTGAAGACTAGAGCGGTGGGTTTTTGAATGGTGCTTAAAGGCAGATTTATCAGTCAAAGAGCTTCACAAAGCTCTGGCCAAACATTCTGTTTCTAACTCTTGTGAAAGGAGCTCGTTTTTAGAAAGCATCACCTAAAGCAGCCAGTGACTGACCCAGAGACAATGTTCAAGACTGGAGGAGCTCATCAGCACAGAGGCACTTGAGAAATGAGGAATACTACATCAGATTAAGGCACCACAAACAAAAGTTACAACGCATCTTTGGAACAACACATAATACATTTTATTTTCTAATCTGTCTGTCTGGGGCTGCATGACCCCCTTTTCAATTAATTGCAATTAAATATATATATATATATATATAATTTGCTAGATATGATTAAATAACTGAAGAGTGTTAGAATGTCATATATTTTAATGAATCACCATACATAATAACCTAATCTATCTATCTATCTATCTATCTATCTATCTATCTATCTATCTATCACAAGATTGGTAGATAAGGAAAAAAGAAAAAACTTAAACCACTGAGATAAACGGGTTTTACATTTCTTTACAAATTAACATTTAATTACATTTTATCGTTTTTATTTTACTATTAATAATACACTATGGAATTAGAGAACTGTTAAACAATGGATGGTTGAAAATAAATGTCAAATGTCAAAAACAAATTCATATTTCAAGTATACACTGGTCTGTTACATTAAAAAAATCGACTATATGTAAAAGTACATTCAAATGGTTTCATATGATTCAATCACACAGCAGCTTTTAGAAATGACATAAAACACTGGGACAACCTTCAAATCAGCTCTCTATGACTGATAGACTTCACTTCGTCATACTACCAGACACATAAAGCCAGTCTGTACTAATTGTTGTTTAACATTGTATGTTGAGAATCGAGAATGAATGTGATATGAACAGCCTCTGCTTCTCTCATGAATGATATAGTGAATTGTACTGAAGCTAATACAGCTTCTGTGTTGTGTTGTGATGTAGAGAAGATATTCTCAAAGTCTCTGTTATAGAGTACAATAAAATGCATTGCTAAATGCTAATCTAATCTCTGTAATGTTACTTCAATATTTTGGAAGGTTAATTAACGAGTTCCTGAGAACAGCACCTGAAATTAATGTATCAGAGGTAATCAACAAGACTGGTGAAAAACACACACACTCTCTCACACACGTAATGAATGGTTGTGGAATGTCACAGGTTCGGTTGCTTTAATGTGGCTAGTGAACTCTTTGACAGGGCAATTCCCACATTAACAATTAGTAGCTACTCATTATGCCATAATAATCACTTGGTTAATTTTTAACAATGACTGAGCAATTGTTTGTCAAATCTCATCAAACTCGGCCACAAACCCAGGCAGCGTTATGACCGTGATTAGGTGATTAAACGCCACAATCACAAGGCCAGCTCATAGAACAGGTTGTGAAAGTGGGAGGAGCCCCTTCTTGTAGGCGACCACTCCTGCTGCTGTGGCCAGAGCCAGGAAGGAGGACACGCCCATGAATTTAAAGAGTCCCCCAACCGATGGCAAGTTTCTTTCCCAGAATGTGGTGACAAATGGCCAGGCCGGGACATCCTGAGGAAAAGTGTTCAGAGTAGAATTTGTTCAAGATCCAAAACGGAAGGTTTTTAATATTTATGGATTTAGTGAAAACATGTTTCTTAAGTGCATTCAAAAGGGCAATTTTTACCAATGATTCAGGCTCTGACTGCCAGATCTGACTCGCATGGAGTTTTCCCATTGCACACAAAATCTGGAAAAGAAAAGCATACAGTATTTTGAGTTTTTCCTTTAAGTAACAGATGGCAATATTTAAAATCAGACATAAACTTCAATTAACATTTACATGTAAGGCATTTAGAGCAAATGACAAAAAGTGTTTTCGTTTTACATCCAAGACCGTTAACAGATGGCAAGCAAGTGCTGTTTGTGTTAGTTTAGAAGAGCTTCTTGTACACACACTACTGTATTTAAACTGGGTCAGTAAGATTTCTGTTGTCTTTTTGTGGTCTTAATTATTTTTGTAGTATTAATAATTTAATGTAGTCTTTATTTAATACAAATATTAATACAATTATACATTAAACTGATCAAAAGTGACAGTAAAGACATTTATAGTAAAAAAGAAAAGAAAATTCTATTTCAAATAAATGTTTTTCTTTTTTACTTTCTATTCATCAAATACTCCTGAAAAAATATATCACGGTTTCTACACAAATAAAATACCATAAATTATCAATAATATCAAATAAATATATAAAATCAATAAACAAACAAAAAAATCAAATATCAGTGTCAAACTGTTTTCTACATGGATAATAACAATAAATCTTTATTTAGCAGCAAATCAGCATATTAGAATGATTTCTGAAGGATCATGTGACACTGAAGACTGGAGTAATGACGCTGAAAATTCAGCTTTGCCATCACAGGAATAAATAACATTTTAAAATATATTAACATAGAAATCAGTTATTTTAAACTGTATTTCACAATATTACTATTTTACCAAATAAATGCACATTAGATACTTTTATTTACTGACCCCCAAACCTTTGTACAAACAAGAGCTAAATTAGGACAAGCTAATACAGATACAACAGAACCTTGTGCTAATAAAACAATCCAACACAACTACGCATAAGAATCCAAGTACTGATAGATGTGTTGAAAATACAAAATGAAGCATGAACAGTGTTGGGGAAAGTTACTTTTAAAAGTAATGCATTACAATATTTCGTTACTCCATAAAAAAGTAACTAATTATGTTACTTAGTTACTTTTTATGGAAAGTAATGCGCTATGTTACTTTTGCGTTACTTTTTAAATCTGGACAGGGCTTGCTTGTTTGTTTTTCAAATAAAAAAAGTTCTATTTTTGGCAAATATAAAAGCCTTTTCACAGCAAACGTGAAATGAATAAGCCTCAGGCTGAAGGAAATGTAAATTTACGTCCGTACAGTAGAATGCAGAAGAAGAAATTTCAACACACTTCAGCAATAAAAAAAGACACACAAATGTTTGTCTAGAGTAATTTTTGCTTATTAGTATGATTGAACTGGATCATCGAAGGTCAGAAGCAAAGACATTGGTTAATAGAATGGGATTAAATACATAAAGGATATTTGTGTTGTTTAACATTTAATTATTGCAGGTTTGCGTCATATTCTGTTGCATTATTTTTATTAATTTTGAGGAATACTGAATCTGTGTTTTTTTTTTGTGAGTGAGATGAATTAATGCATATTCATATTTATTTTTGAACTACAGTAACATCTTCTGATTTCTCTCAACATGGGGACAGGAGAGCTGTCAGTCAATAAATTGGAAAAAAAGTAACGTGCGTTACTTATTTGAAAAAGTAACTCAGATATTCTCTTGTAAATTAAAAAGTAATGCGTTACTTTACTAGTTACTTGAAAAAAGTAATCTGATTACGTAACTCACACTGAGCATGAATATATGCACAAAATGAAGTAGAACTAAATAGATTGCGACACGTTGTTAAATAGATGGATTCATATTGAACATGCTAATAATGAAAGTCAATGACAGATTTTCAAACTTGACTAGAGCTTTTTGTTTCCTGCATTGATATATTTCCTGTTGAAACAGGAAATTTGGGCAGAACAATTTTTTCTAAATATCTTGGATCTTAGTAGCTAAACCCTCTACGCACCTCTCTACTGGCTCTCTCTCCAGCTTGCACAGCCCCCTCCATGTAACCGCTCCACTCTGTGGCCGTTTCAGTTCCTGCGAAGTACAGCCTGCCCACCGGCTCCCTCAGAACCCTGAAACAGACAGAAACGGTCACTTCTCGTGTCAATTCATGCTCTAGTTTACCATCAGCAGGCTAGCAAAATGTTGAACCATCCGGAGGTGCACTAACCTGCCATACTGTGTCATGATACCAGGGGGGAAGTAGGCAGTGTAGCAGCCACCAGAGTACTCCTCCTCACACCAGTTTTTCTCCTCATAGTGCACAGGCTAAAGAAGACACCACCACAAAAACAAAGCGTGAAAAGTTATTAAAAATGATAAGACTAAAGGATGACAGAGATTTGTGACTGGTCATGGAGACTCACATGTAATGCTTCTTCTGTGCCAAGCACACGAGCATAAATCTCACAGATCCTTCTCTTTCTGAAATGATTGACAACATTCTGGTAAGAATAATCATTTCAGCACAAAGTGTGCACAGGTGCAGTGACAATTTACCAATATGAAAACAAAGAAATATCTACCTCTCCTCTTTCGTCAGGCCGGCTAATTTCCTGGATTTTCGTGCCAGGATGAAACTGTAAAGAGAAGGAGCCAGCTTACTTTTCTGTCACCTCAAACATCTCAATATTTTTTTTAGTAGTTTATGTTCATCCTACGATAGAAAGCTGATCGCTTTATTTACCCCATTATAGCAGGCACAGACCCATCAGGCTTAGTGTCATCAAGAGTGAGACCAATAGGTGCTTCATCCTCCTCAATCACCATGCTGCCACAGTATCCTGAAAAAAAACAAACAGCCCGGGTTAGCATACACACTGTATAGCCAGTGTTAGCATTGTTTACATACATAGTTTTTAATAATATTTTGAATTAGCTTTTATTTCTATATCTTCAGTTTTCGTTAAATTTTTTTTACTTGTTTGAATCATTTTATGTGCTTTCGTAACTTTTATCAGTGTTTTTAATATTTCAATTTAGCTTTAATTTATTAATTATTTATTTAGCTTATTTCAGATTTATTTCAAATAACAAAACCAATGTTTACTCATTTTAGTTAACAATAACAACACTGTGTGCAGTCAATGTCACTTCAGTCCCAAGATTCTTTTGAAACTGGCTTTCAAGTGATTTATGTAATGGAAAGTGGACAAGTGGTACAGACCCTTCTTCCTCCAGAAGTTCTCTTTGTAGTACACCATGCATTTAATAACTGAGCCCATGGGGACTCTGTGAATGAGCTGGTTCCTTAGAGGTGGTAGTTCAGGGTTGAAATGGATTTTCAAGTTCAGGCCTGGTGGTATGGCAAGTATAACATATTTGGCCTACAAGAAGAGAGAAAAAGAAAATTCATTAAAAAAAGACCTATTTTGCTAATTCATCATCATTTCAGATAGTTAAGTGTTAAAAGGACTCTTTCAGTAAGTTATAGGAGGCATGATCAAACCCCAGAAACCATCAGCACTGTGCCCATTAACAATGTTTTTAAAGCTGCTGGAAGTGATTTTTTGGGAACGGCACATATTAAAATGTCCCTTCTATCTGATGGATTTCACTGAAATCACATCAGTCTCTGTTACCTTGTATATACTAAAAACAGTTTTTGCTTTAATGGATTTAAAGAGATCAAAACCTCTCTGAAATGTGGAACTCATAATTTCATGGAACAAATTTGCTGAAAACTCAACTTTGCCATCACAGGAATGCATTTCATGGTAAAATATTAATAATACACACAGCCTTGGTCTGTCTCAGCAAATTCTTACAAACCCCAAAATTTTGAACAGTAGTGTATATATACGGACGTATAGTTGAATATAGTGGTTCCAGTGTCGCCCCCACTGTTCCTCCCCAGAGGGATAAACAGCTCTACAGCAGCCTTTAATAAGCTTTCAGCACAGGAAAGAGGATGTGGCCAGGGCAGGGGATGAAGACTGGCTTACTGATAACAATCCACCAAGCTTACACACATACATGGTGATACATACTCTAAAGTGGGACATTTGTCCTTCAAATGAGCCGATTTAGCATGAAATGTAAAATGCTGCTTACTCAGAAGGAGCTCCATCACTGGTTACTACACTCAAAGGCTAGCACACTACCACATTACCATTTATGTATGTATATTGTGTGCATTATGAACATCTGTGTACTTGCACAGAATATGGTGAGAATGATTTGCTACTTAAAGGGGTCATATGATGTTGCTAAAAAGAACATTATTTTGTGTATTTGGTGTAATGAAATGTGTTTATGCGGTTTAAGGTAAAAAAAACACATTATTTTCCACATACTGAACATCATTGTTTCTCCTCTATGCCCCGCCTTTCTGAAATGCGCCGATTTTTACAAAGCTCATCAGTCTGAAAAGCGAGGTGTGCTGTGATTGGCCAGCTATCCAGTGTGTTGTGATTGGCCGAATACCTCACGCGTGTGACGGAAATGTTACGCCCCTTAACACAGGTCTCGCAAAATTTCAAAATCCCTGGTAGCCCTTCGGGCAGGTACTCTTCAGATTTTGGTAGCCCGAATATTAATTTAACTAGCCCAAATAAAAAAATACCTTTTTTTTTTTTTTAATATAGAAAATCAGATAGGAGTTTAAATGTCAATCAAAAATATTTTCAATACACAAATATCAACAAACATGAAGGAAGGAATTTTATTTCAATATTTACAGGGTATCTGCAGAATTAAAAAAAAGAAATTTAAGCCAATTTATGACCCATTTTAAGAGCTGCACAAGTAAAATGAACACAGTATGAGTGGGGTTGGACAATGTCTATGGTAACATACAGTATTGAGTCATAAAATTACATGATTTACAGTTCAGATACAGGTTTTCACAAAAACAAAAATCTTATACATCAGCATTTCAGCCTTTAGACCATTTTTATGAAAAGGGATAAATCAAGCATATAAATTTAAAACGTATAAATATTACTCTTAATTGTTTAGATTTTTAGAAGACACATTAACTTCTTTCTCATTTACAACTCTATGTGTTTGCTGCATAAAAACATGAGTTGATATTTGCATTGATTTGATCATAAACAGCAAGAAACGCTTATTAGAAATGCAAATTCATGGTAACGGCTGTACACTCACACAAAGCAGCTCCGCGCTCATAAACGCTGCTTTATCAGGAATTATAGGTCAAATGAAATTAAAATGCCAATGATACATTTCCGAGGACAGTCGGTTCCCTTCAGATACATTCAAATAAAGACATCCACGCCGTGTTTTGACTTGAAACGTGCAGTGCTCATATTTATTCAATGACATCATTGCCTTTTGAAGTTTAATCCAACTGAATGAAATTTTAATGAAGACATTTCTTATACCATTTAACGTATTTAAAACTTTTTATGGCCTTAAGTTTGATACAACTCACTTTAGGAGTTTTTAAGGACCCGCGGGAGATCTGTTTAACATATTGTGATGCCGTGTCTCGGCCGGAGCGACGAGACAAAAACATTAAAACCCATTATAAACGAGGCATTTGTTGCATCCAGTGTGGACATAATCACGGATTATAATGACTTATACTGTATTTTTACGCGTTGCATCGCACCGCGTAAACATAAAACCATGTTTGCATTTGTGATCTGAGAAATGACAAACAACAAGTGCTACTCTACACTGCTCAA